GGCCTCTGCGCAGCTCTCGGCCGTGCTGGTATCAGCTGGGCCGCCAAGGCCTTGGAGAGCTGCCTCTAAAACAGCAGCTCTCCTTCATCTCCTCAAAGAAAAAGAGAGGCGGAGGAAGAGAGGCTTATGTACAACGCAAACAACGTACTAATTACTGCAAGCATCCTCTCGCCGCGAGCCGCATTCCAGCTACCGGGCTTCTGGCCCTCTCCGGAAAAATAAGGAAGTGAAAAGATTAGGGAAACCGCCTTTTTTTTTGTGCTGGTTTCCTCGACATATCATAAAGCAGGCTTCCTGTGCCGCCAAAGCGGCATCCTGGAAGGGAGAACGCGCTCGCACGGCCCGTGCGTGAGGAAGCGCGGCAGGAAAACCATAACCGAGCCTCCATCCCCGGGGAAGGGCAGCGACCAACCCGGGCGCGAGGTAGGAGGGGAAAAAACAAAAAGACACGTTAAAAACAGGAAACAAAATGAAAGCGAGCAGAATGCTGTTTGCTCCACCCCACCAGTGAAGCATCCCAGCTTTAGGGCAAAACTCTCGCTTCCCTAAAGCAACCGCTACTTACAACAAAAGGGTCCCGCACCTGCAGAGAATTTCATTTAGTTGGAATACGCTTATTTTTAATTACTGCTGAGAAGCAAGGCAGAAGCAGACCAGAGACTGAGAGCTTTTATAAAAGAGAAGTATAGAAGGGGGCAGAGGAAAAGCATACTGGTAATCAAACAATAGATTAAAGCTGAGGCTCCAAGTCAACATATATGTCAGCCCTGCCACGCGCTCGCCGCCAGAGTGGAGACTCTGACCGGAGTTTAGCCAAGCGCTGTGCCCGGTGCCGCTTCCTTCACGGGGAAGCCGCGGGACGGCCGCTGCGCGCCGCTGCCCACGTACCCTGTCCGAGGCCAGGCTGCTGCAGCGCTCGAAGCTGTCCACGCTTCCCAGGCGGCCTCGCATCCTGTTGGCTCCCTGCAAGGAAAAGGCAACAGTTTAGTCCAGGCTTTTCCCCCCCGGCCTGAGGGATAAGCGAAGGCAGCAGAAGCTGCGCAGGTGGGCAGAGGATGGCTCAGGCACATGCCTTGCTAGGCCGCAGGTAACGGGACGAGCGTCAGCTGAACATGTTACTGCTTTTCTTCTCTCCCCCCAAGGGCTTTAACCCTGCAATTCCCTTTCCTGAAGCCACGGAGTATTCCTTAATCCCTTCATGGCAGCTGGTTTTAAGGGCCAACCAAGTTCAAAGAGCTCCAGGCTTCAGGATTGTGCACACACAACAACTAATGGATGCTCTCGTACTTTATCCTGTATCTAGGTGTTTGAGACAACTGAAACAAGGGTAGCACAAGCACTAAAACTGGGGCCGGTGCTCTCTGGCTGCAAATCCACCAACACAAGGTTAGGGACAAGCTCAGCTGCAACAGCAGAGAGGCAAGGCTAGAAATCAAGGACGTGCCCCTCCACAGGAGGGCACGGGAGACGGAGCAGCAGGACCTCTGACCACCGTCTGCCTCTAACTTTCACTGTCATGAAACGTGAGTGACAGCCTGGGCTGTTGGAGGCTTCCAGCCGCTGAAGCAAATTTTAGCACTTAAACGGGGAGAAATTAAAAACTGGGGTTTAGGAAAACCATAGATAGACTGAGCTCACAGTAGCTCTCCTTTTTATACTTGCAGCTACAGGGGAAGTTGTGTCAACATCTGCAGTATTTATTTAGCTTGCTTTTTCCTGGTAGGGTTTATTTTCTTTTTCAAGGCTTTGAATGCCCTTCTGTGCATCACCCCATTCAAGCTTTCTACCCAGGAATACACTGCCTGAAACATCTCGTCACTGGTCCTCACAATAAAACCAGAGCAAGGGATAACTTGGAAACTTCTCAGTAGATTGAAAAAAAAAAAAAAAAAACACGATGTTATATTTTTGCCATCCTAAGGAGGACTTTTTGGTTCAGGAACCAAACAACAAAAAGGTTAGGATGGCAGAGCTGGGATAAATCTGTTCCTGAGGTCAATGAGAGGTTTTATTTATTTTTCTGAAGTACACAGCTAGGAAGCCACAGCCTGTTTTCAGTTCAAACACAGCAAAAATAAGATCAGGACAGCAAAACAAACAAGTGAAAAAGCGACATTCCTTTGTGAGCTGCTCTAACTGAAGTCAGTGCACAGACCCAACAGGATTCCCTACAGAGGGGAAACAGCAGTAAGTCCTTTGGGCAGCTTAAAATGGGACTGGATGCCATTTATCAAGCTTAAAGTGGTCCCAAATAAAAAGTTACTGCAAGCTTATTTCAGATTTTGATAAGATTGAGGTTACATACATCTCCCTAAATCACTGTTTTTTACTTTTTTTTTTTCCCCCTCCTTAATTTAAATCTTTGCACCTACAGTAAGATGACAGTTTCACACAAAAAAAGGTATTTTCTTTCCTGGTCTCTTTACTGCTAACTATATCTTAAAACAGAGATGACAAACCATGCACAGTTAGCGTTCCATTACATTAACACCAGGTGACTTGCAGCTGGCTTGAGGGCATTTGATGCCTAAATACCTTTACAAATCAACCATGATGCAGGGGGTTGTTGGTATGATACCAAGTAAGAACTACTGAACGTTCTGCTAACATGCGCACGCACACGTCCTACACAGAGTAGGCACACGGACACTGTACAGAAAGTCATTGTATAGACCAACTTCAGGTATAGGAATGTGTGTGCATATATATATGTATATATATATAGACATATACATATCTCCTTGTACTATAACATGCAGCACATCCCAGCAGTCCTGCTGAGAAGGAACATGCTATATCAGCCTAACAACAGGTGAGTGCTACTCCCTTCAGAGAGGTTTTGATTTAAGTACTGTATTTGTTTAAAGGAGTTTTTTCCCCTCTACATGACCCGCGCGTGAACGTGCTGCTTGCTGCTTTCCGGGGTTATTCCTGGTGACACAGGCCTGTGCCAGCACCGCTGCAGGGCTAGTGCCCCGTGGGCAGCACTAGCCAGCACTTTCCAGTCAGAGGTCCTTGAGACCTGGGAAGGAAATCAGCCTCAGCACAGGCGTGACTGTCACCATTTTATGACATTTTAGACTGCTGAAACTATCCAGATCTTAGAGCATCACTGCTCCCTTCATACGCACTCCTCATACCCTGACAAAGGTCCCAGCTATACAGCTTCCTGTATAGCATAGGCTAGACTCGACCAGGCAAGCTTTAATGCTAGCTTCAGTCCTAGGTCCAGGTCAAGCCCACGCTTAACCTGCAGTACGGGCAGTTCCACAGATTCCTCCTGGCAAATAACGTTTTGCCTCCTTTCTAAGGCACCCCGGTGGCACCTCAGGACTTTATGGCATTCCCATTTAAGCTGTAGGCAAGGGGACAAACACAGGCTTTGATTTAGCAAGGTACTTAAGACTACTGGCAGAAGGAACAGGTACTTAAATTAAGTTCCTTCTGCCAGTAATCTTAAGTTCACTGCCTCAAACTATATTTAGATCATGTCATCTAGTACTGCAGCTCACTACAACTCATCTATACACTGGATCCCAGGCATTCACACTCCTTCAGTTACTCCTTCATATACTTTTTCTCTGCTCTCAGGACTCTCCCCACAAGAAAAGTGCAAGAAAAAACTGCACTTGAGACTTCTTTTTAAAAAGGACAATAAACAGAGAGAGTTCCAAAGCATGTTCCCACGATCAGCTGCAATGCCATGTTGTACCAGGCTAGCAAGACCGAACTGAGGAAGAACTCATTTCAAAAATACAGATAGATAGGTAGATTTCCTGCACAAGGATCATTTTGCTACTACTTCCCAAAGATTCTTGTGGCAAACACAAGCTTTTTAGCTAGGAGATGTAAGGTCACTTCTCAGACTAGAACAAGGTTAGTTCTCAGAACAGAAAAAATCCCCAGTATAATTTATGCAGGGACATCTATCCAAGCTTTCAAAACAAGATAATGTATCCCATTATGAGATCATACAGCAGTTCTGACCAAAAAAAAAAAAAGTTATTTTAAAGCAAGACATCTGATAACACTCAGCAAGTTTGCTTGTCGGGCTTATTTTTCAGAAAGCTGCCTTTTTCCTCTGCATATGAGGCTTATCACAAACTTTCCATCATAGCTAAGTCCCTGTCAACCTCGCATTTCACAACAGGGACCTATCTCCATTAAGTATTTATTAGAAAAAAAAATCTGATAGGACTTTGCTGTCAAGGCTATCTGGGAGAACTGCTGACAGTGAGCTGTTAACCATACCCTTGAGAAGATATTTTCCAGAGAGCTGGTCAAGGATTTCTTGGCCTTGTTTTTCAGAATGTCAAGTTTAAACCTGCCACCGCCGGTCGTGTTCTCGGGGATGGAGTTGTTCGGGGCGGGCTGTGGAAAGAAGGCAAGGGCACAACTCAGCTTTGGCAAGTCCTTCCGCAACTGCAGAGCTCCAAGGACTAGGCTGCACCAAATGACATGATAAGCAGCATACCCTTGGCCTTTATTTGAAAGTAAAATATAAATAAATAAATAAATAAAGGTAAAAGAACATTCTACCCTTAAGGACTTCTTCTCTGGAATGACTGTTATGGAGCAGGGATCAGGGAGGGAAGAGACAGAAGGGGTATTCCTCACGCTATCAGGAAATCTAGACTTCAAAAAACACCCCAAAACCAATCCAGAACTCAAAAAAAAACAAACTAATTGGTTGGCTTTTTTTCCCCCTCCTTCCTTCCCACCCAAACCTAAAGAATGGAGCACGCCACAATAAACCAACCCCAGTGGCTCTTCCTGCAGTCCTGGCTCCCGTAACACCACCCCGCTCCAGCCCCCCGTCCCCACTGGGTTCTGTGCCAGCCTTGCTCCTATTCCAGCCTGCTTTGGAGCAGCGGGGGAGGAGGAATACCACAGAATGCAGCTCTACCGAGGGGGCCTCGCCAATGTGAACGTGCGTTTTCTGCTTAGCCTCACACAGCTGGCGCAGATGCGAGATCACCAGTTCGTTTTCTTCCTGGTCGTTTTCAGGCTTCATTTTCTGATAGCAGCAGCAAAGAAAGAGGGAAAAAAAAACAAAAAAAAAAAAAACACAAAAAAACACAAATCATCTCGAGTCATGAGTTGCTTAGCTTCACTTCCACTTACTCTTTGAAGTTAATATATGGATGTTGCAGATGCCAGTGTGTCCTATATTAAATTAAAATATTGCTTGCATGCCTTCATACTCTAGGGCAAAACAGGCCTGTCCATGGGGAGAACGTTGCAGGCCATGGAGTGCAGTGAACCTCACGAGTGCACATTTTCTTTTCCAAGGTTATCTGCCCTTGCCTAGGCTCACAAGTGAAAGAGAGTGCACAAGAACACACAGGCATCAACTTTCCCAGGCAGCCAGAGAAGAGCATAGCCTTTGGATACCTAAACCAGTTCATGTTTACTTTAAGCAGTCCAGATGATCACGAGCATGGTTTTATACTATATACTTTACCCACTTAAGTACACTTAAGTACATTCAGACTCTTACCTTGGAGTACAAGTTGAAACAGAGCGAAAACAAGCAAAAGCCCAACTACTTCCCAACAATCTGTGCATCTTGCCTGTTCTCAATTCTTCTTCACAATATCATTTTTATACAAGTATACTTACAAATGAAAAACCCAAGTCAGTTAAAAAAAAAAAAAAAAACCCACAACTTTGCACACAGGCACAAAAGCTCCAACAAAGTTGAGAACCAAAACTTTTCTGATACCAGCATAGCGCAGATGACATCACGCTGGAGCATACTATTTTTGGTAGAAAAATTGCAAATCCTAGACTAACTGCATGGCAACACAGTCAAGCAGGCAAATGGAGAAATGTTTAGCCCACTTTAAAGGGGCTTTTCTCCCCTTGCCCTTCTGAATAGGGCCTTTTTTTCCCCTCTCCCCCAAAGCTGAGGCAACAGCTTCAAACTTATTACCTGAACGCGTTCGAAAATGTCTGCTTGCTCATTATCAGTTAGTGATGACAGATGTCTCTGAATTACAAGTTTGGCTCTTGGTGGATAGAGTCCTGAAAAAACAAGAGAACATTAAAGCCTCTGGAGTCCCGAAACATTTCCTGATACGCTTCTGGGGCAGGGGAGGAGAAAAAAAAAGGGAGAGATATGACAAGATATAAACTTGTACTCGAGTTTGTACTGTTGAATCTTTGGCAGCTGTCTATGCTGAGGTGGGATACACATGATACAACATACTTGAGATTTTGCTAAACCATGCAGTTTTGTCTCATTTCATAGGCAGTGAAAACAGGACAAACCACAGTTAGGTTGCAGACTCTCGTGTAAAAGGTGGTGCTCTCTATCCCTCTGAGATTTGCCATATGAGCACCAAGACCCCTATGATGGAAGTCCAACACCCACATAGTGAAAGGAAGAAGAGGGGAATGGAGGAGAGAAGTATATTCAGGTGAATATGAAAAGATATTCAATGCACAAGGTGCTCATAAGCCCCCGAGGGACTAATTGAACTAATTGAAACATTTAGACACATTTTCACACAAGGAAAGGAGAACCCTCTACAGGTCATAAAGCCTGAATGAAGCCTCCTCAAAAGTAAGGGGTATAAATGCCACAGAAACAGAAGAAAAGAAATTTTGCTTTTTGCTATGTTTTTTGCCCACAGATCTAGGAAAAAATAAATCGAGGAAAAGCTTAAAAAAAAAAAAAAAAAAAAAAGCACGTTTTTATAGCCAATGTTGATATCATCAATAGAAGATCACAATCAGAACAGCTGAAGATTGACAAAAGTCAAAGCCCTGGATTTAGTTACAGGAATCTTGTTGATTATAAGGATCTTGCTAAACAAAGTAAAATAACAGAATAAATAGAGTCACTACACTAAGTATTTCAGTCATCAAGTACAAAATTTAAGCAGCAACTATTTTTGTACTCGACTTGTTACACTGGAAGAGATCTATCATACTGGGTATTTATACCAGGCTTGCAAGTAGCCTATTCAAGATACTTATGCTGTCACACAGAGCAACCTCTGTAGTTTTTCCACTGAGAGAAAAATTCAGGTTAAGGTTTACAGTTTCTGAACATCTGTTGCTAAACCCAGAAGACACCACTCACCACCTAACAATTTCACTCCATCAAGAGTTTTTACTTTGCTTCTCTTCCACCAGAGGGAGGTAAATAGCAATAGTGACTTTTAATCCGTGGGGAAAGCGAGTAACAGTACAACCAGATGAGAGGAGACCAGAACATGATAACATATTTGCTTGCTTCCATACAACACTTTGCAAGGATGCAAATCAGAATGACTTTAAAAATAGGAGCCTGGTACAAAGTAGGATTAAAAAGAAACTCATAAGATGTTCTACATGTGTTCTGGCATACTGCACTTGCAAGGAAACCAAAAATGGCTATGAGTGCCCATATTTCACATCAGGGACTTGACTCTATTAGATATTAATCTCCTAACTTAATCATTTATTTCCTGTAACAGAACTAGGTTTTTAAATGCATACAAAAATGAGCACAAAGAAAGAAAAAAAAATCCCACATAGGAAAGAAACAACAGAAAGCAAAGCAAAATCCTTTCTGATCGCTGCTGTCTTTTTAGGACTCATTTTGGAATAATTAATTTTCAGAGAAGCAAAAGGAAAAAAATATATTTTTTTTCTGTTCTGTTTAAGACTCCAAAGGCTTGATGATGAAAGAATAAGTATTTACAATATGAGCTGTATTACATTTAGTGAGAATATCCTTACTGCAGCCGCCTCCATTTGATTACAGGGAATAAAAAGAAACGATGATTTCTCACTGAGCCACCGTTCCCTCTGCTCTTACGTCTCATTAACCAAAGGCGTAAGGAAGGCGTTACCGAAACGAACAGAAACACGGCGGTTTTTCTCAAACAAGCCGCCGTGCTCGCGCCGGTACCTTCGATCCTCTCGCAGAGCTTGTGCAGCGCGTGCATGGGGCAGGCCTCGCAGAGCTTCACGTGCGTCTTGGCGCTCTGCAGGGCCGCGGCGGTGCTGAAGGCCTGCTTCAGGGTGAGCATCACCTCGTCCACCTGCGGGCACAGGGAGAGCGCGAGCGGGCAGGACGCAGAGCTGCACACCACGCCAGAGCCCAGCGCTGCACAGCCCAAAGCCTGCTGCTGTCCGCAAGAAGACACCACTGTGTGCTGGTAAAGAGAGCCAGGATCTATTCCCGGCTTTGTGTCAGTTCCCCGAAGGTAAAGGCAGCAGGAGTATGTTAACAGGAGTTAAGCATGGGGGTTTTCTGAAGTGTCTGGCTACAAATGTTTGTAGAGGTTCTAGACGTGCACAGAATTTCTAAAGGGAAATGGAAACACGCAAACAGAAGGAAGATGTTGGTATTCAGAAGGGCCTCGAGCTCTTTCTTCTGTGGCATCTTTGGTACCTGGATGCTTGGGCACCCAATACTATCAGAAACTTACTTGTTGGTATACTTTAAGAGAGCCCTATAGTTATATACTAAGTTTCTACTACTAGAAAAATGACAATAAATCACTACTTTGGAAAGCAGCTTATTATTTACTCTTTGTGCCAGAACCTCAGACTACGCAGCCAAGTCTTCACTATTAAACTGCAAAGTCATGTTTGGCCGGAAGGAAGGTTTTCCGAGATGCTGCGTTTCCAGAGCCTCCCCTGAAATGGGAGTTGTGTGCACGCTCACAGCCTTGAAGCTCGGCCAGAGAACGCAGTTTTGAACATCTCACTGCAGCTGCTCAAGCTTACTGAGCAAGACAGCCACCTTCACGGGGCAGGTCACTTTTCTCAGGATCAAAACCCTCGCAGACCGGCTCTCGGCTTCTCTGTATCCAACCGTACGTCTGTGGGCATTGCCTGCCTTGCTGGCTGCCACCAGCACAGGCACAGCAAGGCCACATTCCCACACGTTGGCCCTGGAAAAGCTCAGCTTTTGTGCCAGAAAGGTCAGAGGCGAGGAGGTTTCACCTCACTTACTCAAACACACACTCCAGCTTCAGGCACAAAGCACTCAGAGTTTCCCAGTCTGTATTTTCAGGGAATACAATGCTTATTAAAAGCCATTTACCCAGGTCTTTGTATTATCATGGAAAGAAGGAAAGAGCTTGAAGGCAATTTTGGAACAAAGACGACTATTGTACTTCAAAAGCAAGTTTCTGCTTTCTGAAGAAAGGCTGAAGAAAGCAGAAATTCTTAAGAATAAAAACATGCAGTCTATCACTCAAAACACACAGACTATTCTAGGGTCTGTCAGTTACAAGAAAAAGGCACCTGAATGTGGAAGTCTGAATTAGTTTGTAACTCAGTATTTTAGTGCTTATAAAAAAAAAAAAAAAAACTTTTTACACGCTACTAGCCAAGTTCTTTGGTGCTCTTTTCGCAGTAGGAGAAACACTGAGCAACAAATAGCCCTGTTGCACATATATACATTTTTTTTAGAGTAAATGAATACAAAAGTCTGTCAAACATAAGATACCCAAAACGCTACTAGATATAGAGATTCTGACCACCCTGAAATCATGAGAACAGACTGTAGCTGGGTTCAGTGCAAATATACCCAGCGCTATTAAGACAGCTTAGCTGGCAGCAAAGAACCCAGAAAGCATTTTACAGCCCTGCCCTGCTGCAATTAACTTGCCATTAGCATCCAAGTAATTGCATGCTAAATTAGCTCAGGAACACTCATTTCCTTTTGCAATGTGGAAATTCCCACATATATCAGCACTAGAATACATAAACTGATTGATAAAGTTTTGATATGTATATATACTACATTTTAAGATGTATATATAGTACATTTTAAGTGTCTTTGAACTACATGACACATGGCCAGATTTATTAGTAGGTCAGCTGCAATATTTGCTACAACGTTGTACAGCTACAACCTTAGTACAAAGACTCAGTTCATCTCATAACAAGCTCCTGTGTTCTTCTCATTTTGATTCCAGCGCAGCATAGGATACTTAGGGCTATTAACCGCTTGAAGTTTTATTGACAAAAATCTACTCCTTCTCAATTTGGTTACCGAATTAACATTTTTCGGCCAGCGAGCGATCTAAGTTTAGATGGGGGGAGGGTTTAGCAGCTATTAGAACAGAATAATGCAAACTTGCAGGATTTGGGAAATGCCTTAGTCATTCCCTGACAAAAAAGTTAGGATCATTTGTGATTCCTTACCAGCGATTCACTTGCGCACTGGAACACGTAGCAGACATACTGGCTTAACCCAGGCTCAACCGGTTCCCGACAAATGAAGCCAAAGTGATCGACATGCTTTATACCCTGAAAAAGTTTTCAAAGAGCATTAAGAGACTGTCCTACAAACATGTTGAGTTTCCAACGTGTTCTTAGAAACAGTTACCAGAATCCCAACACTTGCAAACAGAAAAGTTTGAGATACTACAAGCACAGGCAATTATCTCTTACGCAACCCCGATGTTACCTTTTAAATACTTTTATATATATATAAACATTATACAGAACTCTTTGAACAATCAAAACAAATAGTTACGCAGCAATATATCTGGGCCCAAATTTCTTCCATAGAAGAACTGGAGTTTCAGGGAGCCAACAAAACGGTCCTAGGTTGTGTTTGGAATTCCCTCTGCAGTCAAAGCATTGATGCGCTGAGTCCACGCTAAAACATGTGACTGGGATAGTATCAAAGTATTGCCATATCATCTCCTTCCTTCGTGTACGTTAGAAGTACCAATAAAATAAAATAAAATGAGCAGGGGGTGAGACTTGCCACGTGTTACTACTGATATTTTATTTCAAGATCCTGGTCTAACTGCTTAACAGGGAACGTTGCCTTACTAAAATGCACCGTGAGAGGATCAAAGAGCTCTGCTTCCAAAGCAGCACTATATTCCTGGTCTCAATTCATGGAACATGACTCACTATTGTTAAAGCTTTTGCCAATGTTTTTATCATCTCAATATGGTAAGAGCAGATTCTCTCCAGAAGAAAAGCCTGAACCCTCAAGTTCAAATACAACAGAAAGCAGAACTCAGTTGCTTGGATCCATCTCCAAAAAAAACACCTATATCATAAAAGATGGGAGGAGATGAATCAACTTGCTTGTGCCTTCAGAAAACACTCCAGACAAAACCAGTAGCACACTACGTGACAGACTGAACATACTGTCACTACTGCCAGTAGTTTTTAAAACTAAAAACTGAACTCTGGAAGTTACAACTGTGCTACTAGAAGAGCAAAACTTACTGCACGTGCAAGAGGAGTTCACCTAAGACAGCTCAGAAGCCATCTGATGATTCATATAACAGGGAAGTGTTGCCCTCTATTTTGAGATTAAAGTGTAATTACTCCATGCGGCTCAGTAAGATGCCAGTTCCCTCACTGCAGAAGGTGCCTGAGAAGTCTACTGCTGTCTGATTTCCCATTTTTGCAATTTTTTTCCCCATTTTGCATAGCCGTGGTGGAAACAACACTCATGCCCCTGAAGTCGTAAAGAGCACAGTGTATTTTCCATTAATAGCAGTTCCATGCATTTTCTTTAACAGGGTGCCTTGACCTGCCCCAACAGAAGAACACGCAACTTGTTCTGTGCCGCTTGAGGGTCAGCAGGACTGCAACAAGAAATCTGCTATGGCTGCATACACCGAGGTTTCTAACTCTTAAATTTGCTGCTTAGCCAGTTACGTGAAGCACAGACTGTGAATGGAGTGCAGCAGATCAGCCACCCTCATGTTGTGGAACAGAAATACCTTTATTGTCAAGACTGAAAGAACACAGGACACAAGTTCAAGAGAACATCTCTTTTTGCATCATTTTTAAAGCTCAGAAGACCAAACATTCCTAAGCTGCAGTCTCACAATACGCAGTAAATCACTGTTCTGCAAAGCCACAAAGCAGCCCTGGGGCGAGCACGGAGGTCTTTGAAAGAAACCCCGATGAGCCTTATGCAACCAAAGCCTTAGTCTTGAACAAATTAGTTTCATTCGTATTGAACATAGGGGGTAAAAAAATAAAATAAAATAAAATAAAATAGACTTTTCTAAAGTATCTGTCATATTAAGAGAAAAAAGAGAAAAAGAAATGCAGTGTTGTTAGTGCCTGCCCAAATCACTGAAACATGCAAAATAACCAATTTTGCCCTAAACAAGACCAAAGAGGTGAAGAACAGGACAAAGCCCAACATGCAGCATTATCTGATATTATTTACCACATGTAATTATTTTCCTGAAGGAAAGCCAAGCCTCAAAGGACTGCGATGCTCTTGTTTTGGCCTTTAAAGTCATCACCAGCAGCAAAACAAAGCTTGCCCCAGCTTAGGGCTCTTGTTTGACTACTACTTGTATCTCCACAGAATTCATGAGCTCTGTATGTAACACTTATGTGTCACTTCTATTCAGCTCAGAACACATAAAAGAGAGAAGAAGATCCAAGCCATGTGCAAATTCAGCTTTTCATACCACTGCTTTAAGACCTTTGTCAACCCTCCACACATGGAAGTGTGCTTGAAACTAAAATAATAATAGTTTAACGTGGCCTGAAATGATGTATATGAACAAGGAATGGAAGAGGGAAATGAAACTACTGCTACTACTGCAACTCCAGCTCATTATTTAGTGCCCATTTTTTTTTTCTGCATTTAAGCTTTGTGGAAATGACATTAAGTTATCTGTGCAGTATCTACTTGCAAGTGCTACCAGACAAGTGACATAGAAATGCTTGATCTAAATGACAGTCTCTCAATATTTTAAAAGTAAAACACTATTTCAAGTCTGCTGTAACTGCTCATGAATCAGCCACATATATATTCAACATTAATCCAAAACAGTGTCATGATATTTTTACATGTCAAGTTCCATGTTAGATGTGTACATAAGCATTATCACCATCACTCAAAATCACCTTTCTTAAAATAAGAAGCAAATGGGGTAAAACAGCAGACTATTTGCATACATGGGAATTTAGCTAGAGAGAATAAAACATCTAAAACAGTCTTGGAAAGTGAAAAAAAAATAATAATAAAGGGAAACAGCACAGAACACTGCAAGGGAACTCTACATTTCTCTGTACATTTCTTTTTTTCTGCTGCCTACATGCTAGCAAGGCAGCCCAATTGAAGAACAAACTGATCCACTTTTTCGTCCTGATGATCTCCATGTGCTTACCTGAGAACACGAGGAGATATCTTTAAAATTCTTTTCAAGCACAACAGACTTGGTGTCAGGACTGATGAGGTTAACTTCAAACCTTCTAACCTTGAAAAGAAGTGGAAAAAAAAAATAGGAAAATTTAGTTTGTGATTGTTTCAGTGTTAATGTTAACAAAAAACATCAAAATCCAGCCTTCTTTTGCTCACACAGGGATACCTGCAGCATAAAAGCTTACTTGGTAGGAATAAAGGTCATAATTTAGCTTGTGTTGAGTTAAAAGGTATTTCAGCAAGAACACACAATTCACTGGTAGAGTGATTTTAAAAGAAGATTTTTCTTCCTTCCTTTTTAGGTTATTTTGATTCGAAGATTCCATGTTTTAACAGCTGCTACTTAAATCCTTAGTAAAGGAACAATACAGATAAATTACAAGCTGCAATTAGGGGAAAAACAGCAAAAATATCAAAATTACCTAATTCATAGACTTCTTTTTTCTTTTTAAACTATACCATAGATTAACTGAGAGTTGATCTTAAGGCAATATCATTAGTTTCCATAATAATTGTGACTGAAAAAGAGTATATCATGCAATGAGCTATCTTTGAGCTTTTCCAAGCTGCTTCTCAAGTGTGTGAACTTACTCAAAGGAGCTTGAGGAGTTCTCCAGCTAAATCCTTTTTACTAATTACTAATGATAGCCATGGCTTTCTAAGGAGAATGCACTCCCCCACTTCAGTGCAGCACTTCCCCAGAGAATAAAACACAAGACTGATCTTTAAAGCCAAGGGAAAGACAAAACCCAGGCATTTATCTCCTGGTTATTTTAAGGTCCAAAGATCTTTCTTTTCATGGGTCACCTCCTTTTAAGTTTCTTTTGTTTTCTCAATACTAGCTCTAAAGACATCAAACACAGTAGAGGCGAAGGATGGAAGAACTGTGAGGTCTGATGGAAGAGGTCCTCACAACATGCAGGAACATTTGAGATTCTGCAGATTACTTGCTTGGGAAAGGCAAGCTTGAGGCATAACTTATCACAAAGGGGCTGACTCAAACATAACGCTGCGGAGTAGTAATTTACTTCTAAATGGGTAGAAAGGAAGATTTGTCTACACTGAAAGCCTCATGGGATCACCTGTTTGAAAAAAACACCCACTGTTTTCAGCTATGTCCTGCATCTCACTAATAGAGATGCATATACATATACAGATGCAGATTCATATACAAAATATGCAAGTCTCTCCCGCAGAGCCACTGCTCCTGTTGTCAAAGTGTAATTCTTTCCTCTTATGTTTGCCTACGCTCACGATTTGAGCTGACTTCCTTCAGCAAGTCCAGATACTTGTGCTCCAATCATTACAAACAGACGTATCAGTATTCTCAAGAGGCCATGAAATTGCACCAAATCCCACGGATTATCTTACAGAGCTTGTCCCCATCCCAAAACGGGCAGGGAAAGACACGGGACAAGCCAAGTTCTGCTTGCATTCGTGACCATGCCCCTCCTAGCACGCACCTGGAACAGCATTGTCCTGTTCTTCTCCGAATCCGAGGGCTGAACATGGCTGGGCGCGCTGGCGTGCCTTCTGCGCGGCTGTGTTTTCAGGTTTGTGTCATGAACCCTTCTCTGCATGACCGCGGTGACGCTGCTGCACCGCGAGCGGAACTCCTGCTGCTCGTCGAAGCCAGAGTCCTCCAGGATTCGCTCCGGGAAGGAGCCGCGAGCGCTGGCCAGGCTGGACAAGTTGGTCTGGCTGCCAATTGTGAACATGCCGAGCTGCGCCGGGGCGGCGTTTGGGCCAACGGACCCATTGGGCTCCTCAAAGGGACTATCTGCTGGGGAAACGGGTGTTTCTCCCTCTCCCAAGGAGAAGTCCAAGCTCGACTCTGCGTTGCGCTGCTCGCTTAGTAGTTTCAGGCGCTGGCGCTCGTGAAGGCTGAATTTCTCAATGCAATCATCGATGAGCGTGGAGGGAGCTTTCTTGTGAGCCACCGTCACCTTGCCACAGTACAAGACCTCAAATTTTTGAGAGTTGTAGAAGGCGTCTTCACTATCCTTGCTCGGCTTGGCATCTTCTTTCAGCGCTGCTTTGGAGGCTTGTCGTATGCTGCTGATGACATCAGGAACCTGAAGGAAAGTTTAAAAAGTCCCTTTAGCAGCCACAAACAAAATACTACAGGCAGTGACACACCAGACCTCTGCAATATAAATATTTACATGAGTTACTGCTTCAGCTGAGCACTACCAGCTTCTCAGCTGCGAGTAAGACTAATAATTTCTAAATTCTGTATAGGCAGTTTCTGAAGGGTAAGCAAAGAAAACTATTTCTAATATTGTTTCAGAACATAAGGTTTCAAACGCCAAGTTCCAAGCCTACTGACAAATGTTCACAGGTGCTCTTGCACCAACATGGTTTTCTGTAGCCCTTTTTCCCACATCAGTGTTTCTCTCTGACATACTGTGTATGAGGCAATGAGGCCATCTTTTTCTTTTTTCATTTTCTTTTATTTACAGAGCCAAATATTCCACTCTTCAGGTCACTGTGGAAACAGCCTTCCTCAAAAGAGTCAAATAATCCCCATTTATTTTCAACCAACAAGCTGCAGATGGGAGCAATTCTAGTCCCTTTTACAGCACTACCCACCTATGCTTGGCTCAGCCTTTCCCACAGCAGCTCTCACCACTGCCAGGGAGCCGGGAAGGGCATCATTCCACATGCACTTGGGAAGTCACTAGTTGCAGTGAGATTGAAGGCCTACTCGGCCCACCTTCATCGATAAATAAATGGGTTCTCAGTGACAAGCTGATCCAATATAGAGCTAATATTGTATTCCACATAGCTTCCCACTACATCTATAACATCCGTTAATTTGTTCCATATTTTCCCTAAGGAATGTAACTCTGAAGTTCTAGTGTATAATCTGTGCTCCCTGCAGTATCTCTTTTTCCAGTCACCTCAGACATCATCCGAGATCTGCTAGTTCAGCAATGAGTTCAGGTACTGATACTTTTGCAAACAACGGTGCAAAACGACCCTCCTGCCTCCCTCCCCTGCCCCTTACGCGCTCCTTCCCAGGCAGGCAGGCAGCTCAGATGTGCTTCCACCACACGGGCTGCAAGAGAACGACCAATTACCCTACAAACCCACTGACCATTTAATGTGAGCCCTTGGACACATCAGCACTTCAGTTTCCAATGAGTGCATTTAATCCTCACAGACAGGCTGCCCCACAGCCCCAGGGCTGCTTCATCTCCCAGCGCAGAGCTGACCTCACTGCTCGCTCCCCTTCTCTACAGGCTGTGCTTAGAGAAGCTCTAGAGTTTACATCCCTTAATTCACTAGCTACCTGCCTTTTAATTAAAATTCCCCTCTCCAAATCCAGACCCTGTTACAGAACAAATTCACATATTTTTCTACAAACAGTGGCAAATGAGAGTTCTCTTCAAAACGTTTAAATTCCACAATGCAATCCCTGGTTTAATCCATACGAGCAGTTGATTCAATAATAATAATAATAAAAAAAATCCAACTTGCTATTTTTTAAAACCACACTGACAATCGCTTCTGCAGTAACTGGGTCCTGCTGCTTGTTAATAATTACCGAGACAGAGACAGAAACAAATCCTTCATTTTTTTCAAAGAATTTACAAGTCTCCTAACACATCCTGTCTCTCATTCCCTGTCAGTCAATGTCCAGATACATCAGGTATTAGAAGAGACTTCCAGCACTGTCACAGAAGGATTTCCAATCCCATCCTCCCTCAGAGATTTCCCACAACTGCACACATGAGCTTTATGCAACCACAATTCAGAGAAATGAAAACCAAAACCTTATCCTGACACCTTGCTATTTATTGCTTTGTTTAGTTTTCATCTTTTTACAAATCAAGTATTATTCAGGTACTAATATCTGAGTCCCAATTAGTCTTTCATGATGCCTTGGCTTGAGAAAAAAAACATAATTGGGATCAAGTGGAGTCTTAGCAAGAATTTGCATCTGTACTTTACGGAAATGCAAGATATGGCAAAAGTTTCACAGCTATCAAGCATAGCCACCATCCCAATGTGGCTTTTTACATGTTTATTCAGTGCATATTGCTTGTCGTATTGGTTATTAGCTCATTAGCTGTTAATGTTGAAATTACAGGGCAAAGTTAGACAAGATAGTAGCCAGAATGAAGGATTTTTTTTTTCTTTTATGTGGTGAATTAGCTTCTTAACTACTTTTAGAAGTCCGGTTGCTAACACTAAGAATTTACAAAATACCCAAAACTTATTATTAAGTTTCCAAATTCCCATATTTTTCTACAGGAGCATCATAAAATTAAGCAGCCAAAGAAGAAAAATGGGATTATTCCTTAATTCTATAGGACGACTGCTGATCCTCCTCAACATAAATTACTGGCAGCTATAGTAGAGCGAGTCAAAAAGGTTAACTACATTTTCACATAAATAATTTTTCAGCATTTACCTGTACATAATAAATGAATTTAAAATATTTAAATAATGTATCTGATTATAATTTTGATCATTAAGCCATGAAGATAGTTATTTCAAGCCAGGAGACAGGGATAGAGGGGAATAGGCACCGCATTGCTCATAGGCATATCCCATCCCTACCAAATCCAGTGGTGCTACTACTGGAGCAGAGTAAGAAAGAGTTAAATTTTCCCTGCTTTGCTTCTCGCTCACGTCTTTCTGTCTTATTCTCCAACTATTACTGGGCAGAGGAAGAGAAGAGGATGACTTCCCTGAGGAAGCCAGAGGACTTCTCAGGAAGAAAAGGAGGAGCCAGTGGTCCAGACAGAGCTGCTCTGGGACAGCAGATCTCAAATCAGAGGGAGAAGTCAAAAATATGATGCAGGCCATGGTATTATCATTATTCATGTGGTTTGCCTAAACTGTGGAAGAATAGGAGACTGCAATACTAAGGGAAAGCATTTTTCCATTTAAAATGCCTAGAGCATGTGCTACTGAAACACAAGCTCTGATGATCCCCGCTTGAAGCACGTGCTCTTCAGTGATAAGCATAAATCTTGGTTCGCAAAAATTATTAAAAAACTGTAAGATCAGAGGCAAATACGAAGGGTTACACACAGACCCTGAAGTGACCATACCACATCTGTCATGGTTCCCTAGAGTGAAGTAAGTCTGATTGCATTCCCAGGTGTTGATTTCTTCTGATTCTGGTTCTCATGCTGGTTCTCATGCTCATTTGAGTAGCTTAGTTGCATCTTAAGATCACTCTTCCCCCAGCTAGATCAGATTCAGTGCATGGCAATGCAGTAATGCACTGGTAGCCTCGCTCCGTCCGGAACAGACGTCTCTGCTCAAGTTCTGCATCGCCTACAGTAAGATCCAGCTGTAAATACATAAGGTGGGAACAAATATGTGCCAGGTGATAAACTCTCACTAACTCTGTTAACTAGAGACAGTATAGTTTTGGTAAGCCAAGTCTGTCATCAGCATCAATTTGGGGATGAGCCAAATGGTCCTTCAATCTACTCCCAACTGCACCTTGGTTTTACATCCTATTCTTACCTTGGTTAAGGACCTAGGGAGCTCTGCAGCACATCATCCATTTGGCCAGCCAGTTTAGGGCTGCACTGCCTAAACTTGACTAGAAAATAGGTAAATTAATATTCCAGAGCTGCTAATTCCAGCTCTGCTTCAGTCCATTTCTGACCCTTGTAACCAGATTTGCAACAGGGTCAAACCATGATGGAGACAAGCACCTGTCTTGTGCATAATAGCACAACTTACCCTGTGCACCTTAATGTCAAACTGCCAAGACCATTATATGGCATAACCCAAAATGCAACTGCGCTCTGCACAGGTGTATTTTCATGTTGGCAGCATCAGTTAAACCAATTTCACTGATGTGAGCTTTCACCCCACCTGATTAAAACCAAAGAGAGTAAAAGAGGATCACAGGAAAATAATTTAATATCAAATTAAAACTTTCTTAGCAAGTCCTCTCAGATCATGCAACCACCTTTTGTAAAAAAGAAAAAAAAAAATTAAAAGATTAAGATTAAACATCCAGAGATTGTTGATAAACCCCAAACCCCTAGCAGGGTTGGTAAAGTTGAAATTAGGCTATCAAGCTTTCAAAGTCACGCATAGTGCAGCATTCAGCAGCTCCCTTCTGTGCTTTTTCTTGGTTACCCCTCTAGAGCAGGCAGAGCATCTCCCAGGTGGTGCTGCATGTTCTCCTGAGCAGCGGTCGCAGCATTAGCAATATCTACTCCCTTCCTTCCTTCCCTTACAGAAGCCTTCACTGAGCCAAGGTGGGGCTCCCTTTTTTGCTGCAGGGATTACATTCAAACATACCCAGCAATAATTGCCCAGCAGAGGTTTCAATTGTAACCAGAAGTTAAAACTTGAATGCTTTGGATATCGCAATGAAAAACACAACTCCCTTGCTGCTTGCTGTCACATCCTCAGCTAGACTGAATCCCACTGCAGCAGAAAAGCTGCAGCTCTTCAGTTTGTTTCTACATCGAAATTCTTCTGGAATTCTTAACAGAGCAGAAGTCATTGGCATCAGGCTTATGATCATTAGCATGACTGGAAAGCCCCAGTCTGACCTAGCCTGGTATCTCTGGCTGCTCGGTGGCAGCAGGTCCCCCGAGATGTTTACGTTCAGAGCCCCGAGGGAGCTCTGCCCCTCGCCCTCTGCCACCACATGGGCTGCGGCGGCACCAAGGGAAAGGGACACATCAACACCACACGATACCTTCCACGGGGGGCTCCAGCTCAGGAGCAG